GCGTTGTGTGTGTGTGTGTGTGTGTATATGTATGTATGTATGTATGTATGTATGTATTAGGGTTGGGTCGGTTCTCGGTAATACCAATTCGGTCCGGTACTCCGTCTTGGACCGGGTTTTATTTTTTGAGACCGACCGGACCGCATACTCGGGCAGAACGTACGCGGAGCCGCCACCGCGGAGGTCCGCCCGGTAAAAGTGGACGTCCGCAAGCCCTGTGCGCGCAAAGCAAGACCGCGCGGACTTCGCTTCGCGCACCAGTGTCACACAAAAGACTGTTAGGCAAGTATTTTTCACATCGCGGGGATTTTTCACGGACATTTTTACACGTAGTCCGCTCCGCTTATAGTTAGTCCGAGTCTGTGAGCACCTGTGACTGCATCTTCACCAAGCGCACAGCAAGCAGGAGAGAGAGGGGGGGTGGGGCGGGGACTGAGCTAGGAGGTGCGAGTGCGCATGCGCCTCTACTGTAGCCTGGAGTTTGTTTAATAGTGACGGGGAGTCGATAATGGAGGACAATTTACTCTCGACGAAATCAAGGAATGCGCCAATATGGCAACACTTTGGCTTTGAGCCAGAAGAAGGAGGCAACCCTTGTTTGCACTGATTGAGTAAGCTGCAAAATTTATTTGTAAGGAATAAAAGAAACAACTTGTTACGGTCACTCTGTTGTCCTAAGGTCATTTTTTATTTTAAATGAGTCAATTGCGCCCCCAACTGGCGAAAATCCGGTATTATCGACTTGATGCGGGTTTTTTTTTTTTTTTTACAAAAACCGGACCGTTTTTTTCTCATACCGACCCAACCCTAGTATGTATAAACTGCATGTAAATTTGATAGTGACTGAGTGCTAACATAATGTCCTGTGACTTCCTGTGGCAGCCCGTGTTTGCCTTCCTGTACAAAGAGCAGTTTCCTGTGGATGGCTGGAAGGTGTATGACCCAACAGCAGAGTACAGGCGCCAGGTAACACACACACACACACACACACACACACACAGAATCTGTTGCTGTTTGGTCCATCTCAACAACACAATTTGTGTGTACACTTCATGAATTCCATCAGTTAATCAACAGAGTTATATCAAGATCACCTCTTTGCTGCTTTCATCTTCTCTTCCAAACACAAATACTGTTTTTATTATTCACTAATAATTTCCTAAAGGTTCCACTGTGCCAGTTTTTTGTAATGTGAAATGCTTGTACAGGAAGTGTTGCATTTGATTGACAGTAGCTTACAGTGCATAATGAGGGCAACTAGAAATAATTAATGAATGAAAATCAGTACTTTCATAGAGAAGAAACTTGGACTGATGACTCTGCTGTGGTACTGATGAGGTTAGTGCTGTGAAATACAAATTAGTATCAATGAATCCCACAACAAACCTCCCATTCCACAGGAAACATTGTATAGCACTGCTGTATGGAATATACTTTGTCCTTATGGTTCCTTGGTCGGATGTGTTCTGTCAGGGTCTCCCTAATGAGAGCTGGACCATCAGCAAGATGAACAGCACCTACGAGCTCTGTGACACCTATCCCTCCGTCGTGGTCATCCCCACCAACATCACAGATGAAGACATCAGACGGGTGGCCGTGTTTAGAGCCAAGCATCGCATACCGGTCAGTCTGAGACGCTCACATGCCCACTGACAGAGAGTTTGATGCCGAGACAGTTTAATACCACCTTTGCAAACAGCAGTTAACAAAATAATCTGTCAAACCATGTTCATCCTCTCTCTGCTACAGTTGTCCAAGCTGCTTAATATTACCATAGACTGGGGTCAGTATTATAGCTGTTTCATTTGCCAAAGTGCATGCAAAGTTCAGAAACTGTCTCTCAGTGTGTTTGTGTATATTTAAATTTGTTAATGTGTACAGGATTTGTACATCTGTCTCAAAATATGAAAAAAAGAATGCAAATGACCTCTTATTAAAGTAACTTAAAGTTACTTTCATTTTGTATCAATATGGCGCTACCGTGGACAAACAAGTAGGTGTTTCCATGAGCACCACCACTTTGTGTTGTTAAGATAGCTGCGGCCGGAGGCACTATGTTTTAAGGTTGTCTGTACATCCGTCTCATGCTTGTGATGCCTCAAGGGAATTTCTTCAATTTTGGCACAAATGTCCACTTGGACTCAACGATAAACTGATTAGTATTTGGTGGTCATTGGTTAAAGGCTAGTGTTACGTTACAACTGTCTCATTCTTGTGAATGTGAAGAATAAACTAAACTGGTGAACTGAAAAATAAACTTGTGGTTGAAGGTCAAAGGTAGCCTCACAAAATATGTTTTGGCCATAACTCAAGAAGACATATGCTAATTATGACAGATGTTACAAACTCCTACTACTGTCTTTTAGTACTGAGTTTCAGTATTAGGTTTTGAGGTATGACCTCAGCTAGGCCACTCAAGCTCATTGGTTTCTACAGAGGATTTACATCTCACAAAACACCTCACGAAAATAAAGTTTCATTTAAAAAAAAAAATCCAGACACTGTTTTTTTTTTTTAATGTTACTCAAACATGAGGGAACAGTGCATTTTTTCGGGACTATTTTCAGCAGTGGATTAATCCACATTTGTGGCAGAAAGATAGTATATGTGTGTCCTGACCTTGCCCTGCTCTCCCTGCAGGTCTTGTCCTGGATTCACCCAGAGTCTCAGGCCACCATCATACGCTGTAGCCAGCCGTTAGTCGGACCTTTAGACCGTCGCTGTAAAGAGGATGAACGCTTCCTCCAAATCATCATGGATGCCAACGCCCAGTCCCACAAGCTCACCATATTTGACGCCCGGCAGAATAGTGTAGCAGACACCAACAAGGTACAGCACACATCTAGCTTGCCTCTCTCCTCACCTTCGTATTACATGCTGACTAATTTTGTTCTCTCTCTCTTGTCAATCCCTCCACTCTTGCCTCCTCCTCCTCCTCCCCTGCTGCCTCCACCACATGTAGGCAAAGGATGGAGGGTATGAAAGTGAGAGTTTTTATTCAAACGTGGAGTTGAACTTCCTGGAAATCCCCAACATCCATGTGATGAGGGAGTCTCTGAGGAAGATGAAGGATGTGGTTTATCCCACCATAGATGAAGCCCACTGGCACTCTGCTATTGACCAAACACACTGGCTGGAGTACATACGGGTACATCACACTATAAAGAATAATTGTTTTTTTATCACTATAGAACATAGACAGAGAATGTATCATAAATATCTATCACTGACAGCCCACTCAACTGTGTGTGTGTGTGTGTGTGTGTGTGTAGCTACTATTAGCAGGAGCAGCAAAGATAGCTGATAAGCTAGAGTCTGGGAAGACGTCAGTGGTGGTTCACTGTAGTGACGGCTGGGACCGGACAGCTCAGCTCACCTCGCTGGCTATGCTGATGCTCGACAGTCACTACCGCACTCTCAGAGGATTCCAGGTCACACACACTGCATCACAACATCAACTGTACACTGTAGTCTTCATCTGTACAACATAATAATGTGCTGTATGTATATGTTTGCAGGTTCTGGTGGAGAAGGAGTGGGTTAGCTTTGGACACAAGTTTGCTGCTGTAAGGAACAGTTACTCTGATGATCTCACCGTTACATCATCCTTTATGACGAAAACTTAGTCCACTAAAGCAAATGTTGCCATTGTAACTACTAGCATGACTTTGAAATCGGCTGCTGCCAGACGTGTATTTACATGTTGAAACCTGATTTTTTTAAGCATATTTTATTGATTTTAAACAAATATCACATAACACAAATAATATGAATGTACAAATATGAAAGAGCTCATCTTTGATGCAGTAATGTGTAGTTAACTTGTGAGCAATTAGGAGGAGGCCTAGAATGCAGAAATTATTTTGCACACCCAGAAACAATGGTGATAAATTCTTGATCTGTAAAACACTGGGGATAATTAATGTCGATTTTTGAGAAAACAAAAGACAGATTTCTCAAGATAATGAGATACTTTATCACAAAAAACAACTTTGTTTTCTCAAGATGATGGAATACAGATATTGCAGTCAAGTGAGCCGTTGTTTGCGTAATTATTGTAATGAGGGAAAACAAAAGGACAATTTCTTGAGATAATTTATCATATGAAATTTGGCCTTCTGTTTATCGACATAAATGAACCCATTATCACAAGGCAACAAGCTTTGTTATTCTGAGATAATGAAATTTTAACCCGTGATCTTGAGATTAAAGAACGTTTTCTTGTGATAAAATTATATCGTTATCTCTATTCAATTCAATTCAATTCAATTTTATTTATAATGCCCAATATCACAAATCACAATTTGCCTCACAGGGCTTTACAGCATACGACATCCCTCTGTCCTTATGACCCTCACAGCGGATAAGGAAAAACTCCCCAAAAAAAAACCCTTTAACGGGGAAAAAAAACGGTAGAAACCTCAGGAAGAGCAACTGAGGAGGGATCCCTCTTCCAGGACGGACAGACGTGCAATAGATGTCGTGTCTAGAAATCTGCCTTTTGTTTTCTCAAGAACTGACATAAATTAACCGGTTTTCACAAGAAAACAAGCTTTATCTCGAGATAAAGAAATAATTAACTCATGACCTTGAGATAGTGGCATTAAAAATACAATTGCAAGCAAGGCCATTCTTGGCCTCTGAATGTTACTGCATGTCCATTGAAAGTATTTTCTTTGTTGCAGCGCGTGGGTCACGGTGATGAGAACCATGCTAACTCAGAACGCTCACCTCTCTTCGTCCAGTTCATCGACTGTGTTTGGCAAATGACTCGCCAGGTCAGTCTCTAGTGGCTTCAAATCCTGAACAACTACTTATTCAAGAACCAAGCCTGAGTACATTATGCATTTTCATATCAATTGTAGGCATTTAGAAGCTGCCACTCTTTACTTATCAGTCATCACTTTTTTTCCCCTGCAGTTCCCGTCAGCCTTTGAGTTCAATGAGTTGTTCCTGATCACAGTGCTGGACCACCTCTACAGCTGTCTGTTTGGTACATTCCTCTATAACAGTGAACAGGAGAGGGCATCCAAGGTACGTGCCATTCTTCTGTTAACAGGGGTGATGGGTCTGTAAGAGCCATGTCACATCAAACTCTTCTTCTGTCCTGTGCAGGAGGTACAGACCAAGACAGTGTCCCTGTGGTCCTACATTAACAGGTAAGTTTTTCACCACCTTGACAAAAGTGATGTAGTGAAGTAGGAGTGATTCTCTGACTGTTCAATGCTGTCCCCTACAAGCCAACCTGAGGACTTCACCAACCCCTTCTATGTGGACTATGAGCACCACGTTCTGTATCCACTGGTTTCCTCAAGACATCTGGAGCTGTGGACCGCCTACTACGCCCGCTGGAACCCTCGCATGAGACCACAGGTACGTGCTCTGTGGGAGGCGATGGAAGATGGGGCATTAAAGGGACAGTTCACCCCAAAATCAAAAATACATATTTTCCCTCTGACCATTGGTTATCAGTCTAGAATGTTTTGGTTTGAGTTGCAGAGTGTTGGTGATATCGGCCGTAGAGATGTCTGCCTTCTCTCCAGTATAATGGAACCAGATGGCACTCAGCTTGTGGTGCTAAAAATGCCGAAAAAACACATTTGAAAAACTCAGCAGCAAAGTCTCTTTCCAGAGATCATGACCCGATTACTCAAGATAATCCAGACTTTGTTGTGAGCAGTTTCATATAGGAACTATTTTCTGTCTACCGAACTACAGCCGCCAACTCTATCACTGCATAGAGGCTATAATGCTTTGTTATAGAGACTACAAGGTTTCCCACTTTAAACTAAACCATAAGTGTTGGATATGTAGGGGCAGTTAAAACCTGCATGCTGGTTTGTTATCATGTTGTTATCCATGCAGAGGAACGCTTCAGTTACTGACAGTGTGATTGTGTGACGTATGTTTCAGGTGCCGGTGCACCAGACGCTGAAGGAGCTGCTGATGCTGAGAGCAGAGCTCCAGAGGAGGGTGGAGGAGTTGCAGAGAGAAGCCTCCTCCCACTCCCTGTCCTCCTCCTCTGAACACTCCCCCTCACACACCACAGGGACTCCCCTGCACACCGCTGTCTGACTGACACACACACACACACACACAGAGTTAAATGCATGTTTTAGCCCAATTACTATAAATACTGATGTTTACAATGTGAAGGAGCCTTTACAAAGAGAATCCTAATTTTATATTAACATTCCTAAAATCTCCTCAAGATGTTTGTTAAATAAAAATAAAAACGTATTTAAAGACAGTATTAAAACTAGCCTGACACACCTGTGCTTATTATTTATATTATTTAAAAAATCTCTAAATTCAGAAAGACCGGCTCCCCCTGTACTGAGGGAATCTTACCATTCGCTTCATAGTGTTTTTGTTTTTGTATGAAGAATTACTTCTATTTGTCTCAGGGCTCTGATATTCACATGACTGCAGAAAGCTGCCAGTAACATGGTAACCTATAGTGTAGCCTCCCTCACACTTTTTCCCTTCTTCTTCATCAAGGTTGGAATTATTATGAGCTGTGCCACACTGTCCAAAGTCATGAAGAGAAACCTTCACATTTTTAAATGGAAACCAGGATTACCACCTCAGCGTCACATGCCTCTGCAAACCAGTCAAGTTGCACTTAAAGTGTACATCCATGTCTGTGAAAACATGGATGCTTCACACACATCTTCACCCCAACAACACAGAAGATTCATAGACCCTTTTGGGGCCTTTTCTTTAGCTGGAGGCGAAACACCACTCACCACCACAGGGCTGTAGGCTACATAGGAGTCTTAAAATGTCGTCTTGCTGTGTTATTGGGAGCCAGAATAGAAGGAGTCATGGCTCAAAACTTAAATTTTATCACATACCGGCTGCCGGTTAAATGCTAGCCGTTGTCGTGCATGCCCAGCTGCATCGCCGTTAATCCAGTTCAGCAGCTTCCTTAATTTGGCCCTCCATTAACGCGAGTAGTGGCGAAATACCTCAATAGTCTGTAGGATCTGTAGCAGTTGCCATTGTTGCTATCCTCACCAGTTACCCACCAGCGTACAGCTTGACATCAGCATGGCGCTGATTGGCTAATCGCTAGACCCGCCCACACCCCCGGCGTTCATTGGTCCGTCCATCGTTTGGATGAGATAAATCGCAAATTCATTGCAGTGTGCCAGACCAGAGATGCAAGCCTACTCAGTTGAGTGGGCGGGGTCTATGGTCTGGAACCAGGGTAGTTAAATGCCATAGGACAAAATGATCGGACAGAGGTGATCATTAAAATGCTCACATGTGCAGTGCACACTTAATATCAGGTTAGGGAAAAAGTATTTACTGTTGTAGGGATGAATGACTTCATGTGTATTAAGGGTTATTATGTCCACCTAATCAGAAATTGGAAGGGTCTTAAGTAGGGATGTACGATACCACTTTTTCCTTCCCGATACCAATTCCAATCCCTGAACCTTAGGTATCTGCCGATACCGAGTACCTATCCAATACCAGCGCGTAAATGAAAAAATGAATAGGATATGAATTGTTGTATGCCTCAACTCCTAAAACTCTATGTAAAATATTAAGAAATAAATACATAATAGTAAAATGAATGCCATAAAACTTTTTTAAATTATTATCCAGTGTTGACACAGATCAAGACACAGGTTAAAGTGCAGCCACACAATTTGGTAAAAAAAGATATTTTAAAGGCTACAGTAGAATGCTTTTTAAACTCTGCTCCCTTTCCATTTTGTTTGCCTGTAGCGTGCGTATGCGTGGGAGGCATTACGTGGTATCGGATTGGTCATAGGCTGTACTCGCCGATACCCGATACCACATTGTAGGCAGTATCGGAGGCATTTCCGATAATGGTATCGGTATCGGTACAACTCTAGCAGAGATGGGGACTCGAGTCATTGTGACTTGGACTCGAGTCGACTCGAGTCGCTGTTTTGATGACTTGTGACTTGACAAAAAATAAAAAAACTTGAGACTTGACTCGGACTTGGAAGTGAAAGACTCGGGACTTGACTTGACTTGAGACACAATGACTTGAATGACTTGAGTGTTATTCACATCATGTTTTCGGTTAGAATATAAAATTAATAAATTCATTTAAAAAATAATGTCGATTACCCGGTAGGAGCGCAGGCTGAGAATGGCGTTGTCATGATTGGATCACTCCCCTGTCAATCAGTCATGCCCTCTCTACGTACCTTACGTGTTTATTGGAGAAACACGCCCTCTTATATCAGATAGGCATCAACATGTCAGCGGGAGGGGTACCGAGAGTCATCGTCTTCGGCTTTCGGAATTACCATTATAAAGGCAAAAGACGAACAGCACAGTGCAAGACATGCGGCATAAACATCTCGGACAGCCAAGCGACAACTTCAAACTTTGTTCGTCATTTGAAGAGCCATTCTGCCCAGTAAGTGCTTGTCAATTAGCTAATATTATCTGGTTAGTCGGTAGTTAGCTAACGTTAGCTTGATACGATACGGGGGTGGGGTGGGGTGGGGGTTCGGTTTGGTGGAACTTGTTTTTCTAATTTATTTGCTAACATTAACCCCAGAAAACGTGAGCGAACATTCCGACCGGTTCATCACAAGACCGGCTGTACGTTTTATGAATGAGCAACACAGGGTTAAACGAGCTAAATGGGTGATTTTGGCCGCTGCCTTGGTTAGTGTGTGTGTGTGTGTGTGTGTGTGTGTGTGTGTGTGTGTGTGTGTGTGTGCGCGCGCGCGTGTGTGCGCGCGCGCATGGGGGTCCCCGCAAAGTAAACATTGCAGCGATGAAGTCAATGTTTACTGACAGTTACTTCTATCTTGTCTTTTCACTTTTTTAAGATCAGATTCTGCAGGTAAAATTACAGTAATAAGGTGACTTGACTTGGACTTGACTTGACCTATTACAGGACTCGACTTGAGACCTACTTGAGACTTGTACATGTGTGACTTGGTCCCATCTCTGAACTCTAGTCTTAAGAGAAACATTGGATTTCTCCGTAACACTAACGTTTTAGCACATTAGCTAACATTAGCTTCGATAGCAAAACGAACTGGAGGAAACCGTTCAAGTGTCGTCCTCCTTTGTAATATTGGCACAGTAATCAACCACAAAGCCGGCCATCCCACCTTCAGCAATCCTGTCAAATCATCCATCCACTGAGTGAGAGCATACGGGTTGGCCAGTCTGGGCCCTTTGGGCAATGTTCACTTTTTTAAGTAACCCTCGCAGTCCCAGAGAGTGAGTGACCTGCTATGGTGCGTTTGTAAATTCAGTCTGACGCTCTACACTAAAATGAGAGCTCTGTTGGTCGGAAAAACAGAGCGTTGTATTTCTATATGAATAAATAAACTGTGAAGTTAATCACACATTCAGTCCTCTATGTGCTCTGCTGCACCGTCTCCCCGGACAGAGTGCCTAGAGCACTCTGCCACTCTGAGAATGCAGTGCTCTGAATTTACGAATGGTTCAGTTTGTGCCAGAGTGCACTCCAGCACTCAGAATGGGTATTTCTGAATGCACCACTTGCATCATCTTCCTCCATTGTCTAAAACAAGCCAAAAGAACTTGCTAGCTAGGGCTAGCTAATTTTTTGTAGCGAGCTGTTTTGCCTCCAGCTAAACTCCGCCCACCAAAAAACTCCATACTGTTTACTAACGGTAAAAGGGTCAATACAATCAGCAGTTTCAAGGTGGATACCCAAGATTAGTGTCACTAATTCAGCATCTGACCAAATGTCTCCCCTTCTGTTCTAAGTTATGACCTTGAATATTGGCCAGAAAAGTGTTTCATGCAGAATATTATGATGTCACAGTGAAGTTAACCTTTGACCATTTGGATATAAAATGTCATTACCTCAGAATTTTATACTATTAGACATTTGTGTGAAATATTTTCATAATTAGCATATGAATTCTTGACTTATGGCCAATAACATGTTTTGTGAGGTGACAGTGACCTTGACCCTTGACCACTAAATCCTAATTAGTTCATTGTTGAGTCCAAGTGAATGTTAGTGCCAAATTTGAAAAAAAAAATCCATCAAGGTGTTCTTGAGATAATGCATTTGCAAGTATGAGACAGATGAGGTCACAGTGACCTTGAACTTTGACCTGTGTCCATCAAAATCTAACCAATTCATCATTGAGTTCATGTTGACATTTGTGCCATATTTAAAGAAATTTCCTCGAGGCATTGAGATATTACATTTACAAGAATGAGACAAATGGACAGCCTGAAAAAATAATGCCTCCTGCCACAGCTGTCACTGGTGGCAAGGTATAAAAAAGTGATTTTTTTTTTTTTTTTGGAATAGGAATCACAAAAAATAAGAATCACATTTCTGACATTGTTATCCCTCACCTACTTCCCACCTGCAAACACAGCGTGTTCGATGATCAATAGCCCTCTTCATTATCTTGACACTGCCTTACTGTACATGTTGTCCTTTTATTTTTATTTTATATTTAAGTTTTTCTTTCTTTATGTTGCCTTCCAGTCATGTCACTGGTTCCTCGTACCCCCAAACACTTTGTCCTTTACTGTAAATCACTTAAATTTCTAATCAATTTCTCACAAATGAACCAAAAACATAGGTGTGTATGTCGAGCTCGTCCCAGAGAGTCAGATTATGTGAATTTATTGACTGAAAGCAGCAAGTTCATCGAACAGTGTCAAAAGAGGTGTGAATTTAGGTGAGTACATGTATATCACTAAGATATTTTTATGTTTTTATTACAGCTCAGATTTTATAATAAAGAGGAAAATACATTTACTTTAAGGAATGATTTGGTCTATTTTGTAATGTTAAGGTATTTCAAGTACATATCAAGTTTCCATCCAACTGAGTCAAGTAATTCTAACATAAACCAAACAATCACCATTTATGTGATTAAATCAAATCAAACTGAGATGAAAAGACTATGAGAGTTTATGTAACTGTAGTTCATCAAATGTACCTAATTTACTTGCATATGTATTTCAAATATTTTAAATATTCAATACATTTTATTAAATCAGGTAAATTCTATGAGCTATAGTTAAATAAATTCTCATAGTCTTTTCATCTCAGTTTTATTTAATTACATAAATGGTACTTTTTTTTTTTTTTTACATATAATTTTACATAGAGTAAAATATGTAAACCAGACAAAATAGACCAAATAATTCCTTTGAGCACATGACCAGATATAAACAATCCAAACACAGTGTGAGACACAAAAGAAATATATTAAACTAAAAGTTTATGATCAGTGAAACCAGAAA